TCCTGCCCGCCCCGCCGGGAAAGACGCCGCCCCGGCCGCGCGTCCCGGCACAAGCGTTCCGCGTTCCTCGGCCGCCGTGGTACAGCACGCACGGAAGGACAGCGCCCAAAGCAGCCCTGCCCTGGGCACTGTCTGTGGCTGAAAGCAAGAGGCACATGCTTTAACGTTCACGGTAGGAAAACACGCGCAGCTAACGTCTTCGCCCGCCAGTGGAGTCACGTAATACAAGGAACAGGCGAACAAAGCTTTAGAAAACAACGTGTGCAGTACTCAAATTGAGAAAAGCACAAGGAAGCAGGCACAGCAAACGTGCACAGATGCTGCCCGGGCATCGGATGGTGTGCCGTATTTAAGTGGTGACGGCACGCGAAGCCGATGAGAGCAGCGTTCCTCAGCCAGAAGCTCGCAGGGTCCCACCAAAGCTGCGGGTCTCCTCGTGCCGAGGCTCCCTGGCCAGCCTGCCCTGCTGCCTTTGGGAAGCGGGAACCTGGCTGGCTGCTTGCGCCATCCAGGTCGGTACCGGGGGCTCCCAGCTCTTACATCCTCCCAAATAAATACTGTGAAATTCAAACAGCAGACAGTCATAATCAAAATCAGGTATTGCTCACCCAAGTGTTTGCCATGTTTCAGTCTTCCAGGCGGTTTATTTCGTTCACCTCAGCCGAGGGGAAGAGCAGGAGGAAGAGGGAGCCCCACGGCAGCTGCTGGCCCCCAGCTCCCTGCGCCCCAGTCAGGAGAGAGGCGCTGGCCTTACTGGGCGCTGCCCCACCACGGCCCCTGCTGCAGGGCTGCCAAACCAACCCCAGCAATTACCCCTGCAGGGTGCATCTCTGCCCAAAGGTAGCTGTGATACCACTCTGCAGCCTCAGCTGCTGCAAGACGTGCCAAGGACAGCTCAGAGAGAGCCAGCCCTGTCCTTGTCCTTTGCAGCCAGTACGTAGCATCCTCTCTCACCAGTCTAGAAAAGGTCCTGCACAGACAAAGCCGTCCCAGGAAAGGTCCATCTAATGTACTGGTTTGATATCACTGCTGTCCTCAGTTCAGCTTTTCCAGATGCATTTGCCCTGACAGCTGGACCCAGGCACGCAGGGAAGCGGCTGCTGCAGCTCCACGTTTGCTGTGGTCCCAGGGCTTGAGGAAGCCACCAGCACCTGGGAGGCAGTACCGTGGCTGAGCGCTCCTCCGTGCAGCGTGTCGAGGGTGGTAGCTACCAAAAAGGTGGCAGCTTGTGCAACTGAGCTGGGAGAGGTTTAGACCCACTCCCCCTGCTACGGTGCAGGGCTGACCTGTCTACACCCACCACGCACCCCAGCAACAAGCCTACTGCATTCAGGGATGGTAGCACTGCAGCAGGCTAGTGGATGCCCACCTGCAAGAATAAATGCTATGTAGGAGTTGTTCAGTTCATCACTGCTACTTACTTCAACGACTAAGCAAAGTTTCTTAAAACTCTCAAAACAAAACATTGTTTAATGTTATTTTATTAAATATGCTACATCAGTACCTTGTACTCCATAATCTTTCAACCACTCACAGACTGACTTGCTTACAAACGTATTTTATAGAAAAACATCTGCAAAATTAAAGATAAAATAAAAAAATACATATTACACACTTCTGGACAATCTGCATGTTAGCAAAGAATACCTTTTATTTGACCTGAACATGTGCTTAAACAAGGAACATATTCATGAAACAGGACAAACTCTTGAATATGGTACACCTCTGTAACTAGTCTGACTAAAGGAAAACAAGTGCAATGTTTAACTGCCTCTAATAACAGAACAATAAAAAACAATTTTTTTAAATCTTTTTTTCCCCCAACCCATTCCCTTTGTTCTCTTCCCACAACAAAACATCCAGTGATTATTTCTGTAGGTCACTGTCCTTACATTGCAAGAAGCAATTTCATTTTAAAATCAGCTGATCCATATTTACACTGAAGCATGCAAAGAGAGGATACTGCAAGTATTTGCAATGCAAATCTGTTAAATACAGCATAACTGAACAGCAAAGTATCCCTTTAACACTGCAGTTCTATTGCCTTTTTCTGTGATGAAGTTTCCAGTGTATGAATTATAAAACAGCATACAAGTCAGAAACAAAACCAAAGAATTTTGCAAATTTTTTATATTTTCAACTATTAAATCCTTTGGAGAGCTGTGTCTAGCGCCGAAACCAAAGCCAGCTATTGAGTAACCAGAAAGCTACAGTAATCGAGTACATGATCATTTCTCTTTTAGCACGCTCTTTGTTTTCTTCTTCCAGAAGTTGTAGTCGGCGGTTAAGTTTGATTATCTAAAAATAAATAAAGGCTTTCAGTGCTTTATTAAAATTGCCGGACTCTCTCAAAACTTCTGTAAAGGCATATACAATTAGCATTTTATACAGATGGTAGGAAGTCAAATTAACAAGGATTTAAAATCCTTCAGTGACTTAACAACCAGATCTTGCAGTCCCTGACAAACAGGAGCAGAAACGGAGTCAGAAACTCCAGATTATCAGATACAGGGTATGGGAAGGCAGTCCAGCAGCAGGTACGGAGAGGATCCCTCCCACGGCTGTTATGGCTTCCTTTCCAGCCATACCCGTTATATTGCAACAGGCAACCTGCTCCCTCGTTTAACCTCCACAGCATTTACTCAATGTTATTGACCACTGTGCTTTACATACCTGTCTTCTTAAGGAGGCCGCATCCACAACTGTCATGTCATCTGGTGTTCCCTCAAGCGTAGTATCCAAGTTGGAAAGACCATATCTATCAAATAAGGGAGATACAGCTTAGCTGTCTCATCCATACAGCAAAATATCAAATACTATGTTTTATGGTCGTTCCAGTAGATGTATTTTTTGGTGGTGATGGGGAGAAGAATTTAAGACTTTTTCCAGCTTTTACAAAGTTGTATATTTCGATAGGATCCTAACAAAATAAAGCACAAATAGATATATGAAAAGGGTAAGTGCTTGACTGCATCTGAACCTAGGGCTTTCCACATTTAAATGTTTTTGAAGATTTTCTGCACACATAGACTTCTTTCTATGGCTTGGTCTCTCAAAAGACTGTTTCCAGTATTCAACTGATTAACGACACCTGAAAACTGCCTGAGCTAAAAGTGCCAAAATTGCAAAAGACCTGCAACAGATCTGAAACAATCAGATGAAGACTTGGAAAGAATTGTGTCTTATACTTAGTAACTGACTAAATATTTCAAGTGGATGCTCACTGAGATTAATGATCTCGGGCACAATAATCTTAGTATTTTAGGCAAAGACTGAGACTC